TCAGAGGGACGGGAAGAATCTCGGCTGTTCTAGGGACGCGGCCGCCCTCGCTGGCTCACTCACTGCTCGCTTGCTCGCTCCCTCCCTCCGTGCCGTCCGCCCGCCCGCCTGCTGCCTGCTCTCTCTCTCGCTCGCCCTCCCGGCTTTCGCCGCTCACGCCGGAAGTTACGTCACAGCCAATCGCCGGGACTCCGGAGAGGCGCACGTGCCCTGCGCAGCCGCGCTGGGGTCCAGCCCTGGACGCTCGGGGCCGGAGTCGTATTTCTCGGCTTCCTGTGACGGGTAAGGGTGGAGTAGGAGGGAGGGCGGCAGAGGGTGGTTTGCTGAAAACTGAGTATTGGAGAGACGCGGGTGCTATTTGACATTCTGTTAGCTCGGCGCTCGCCCTCGCCGGAGGGACCCTCTGAACAGCTGCAGCATCAAGGACCGGACGGACCACGCCGTCGCGCCCCAGTGACGTCGGCCCGAGGAAGCCGGCGGGCGCGGCGTGGGGCTCGGGGGCTTCTAGTCTGTGATTCTTGCTGCCTCCTCCCGTCGCCCGAAGCTCTGGTGTTAGGCTGGAGCAAACAGAAGTCAAGTTCTGTTGTACCAGGCTTCCCCACCTTTCTCCGCCACTAATTCTTACACACTTCGAGACCTCAGAGATCAGCTGCCTGATAGGCAAATTGACACCCAGAGTTAGACATTGCTTGTCCAAGGCTACATAGTGTTTCCAGTAAACCTGGACCAGAACCCAGATCTCCTGACTTCCAGGACAAACGCCATATCTATTTTCCTAATAAGAGGCAGAGACCATAGCTCTTCACTCATCCATTCATTCAGTCTGTCTCTTAACATTGGTTATTTCGCGCAATAAAATGGGGGCAGGACACTGTACTAGGCCCTGGGACAGCGAGGCACTACTTATATGAGTGAAAATTATCTAGTAGCCACGTTAAAATGTAAAACAGGTGAAAATAATTTTAATCATAGATTTAACCCAGTTTATCCAAGCATTATCATTTCAACATGTAATGAATATAAAAATACGAATGAGATCTTACATGTTCTTTGCTCATGCCAAGTCTTTGAAATCCAGTATGAATTTCACACTGACTGTACATCTCAATTCAGAGGTTCCACATATAACTAGTGACTCCTGTATTGAAAAGCACATCTCAGGGAAGTCAAAGGTAAACAGGACTCAAGTTCTTTGGCCTGGGTCTTAATACTGGGGAAAGACATCAGAAAATAACCTGACAACATAATTGCAAAATTTGATAAATGTTAGGAAAGAAATGACTGACGTAGAGAACACCAGGGGTCTATTTTAGATAGAATGGCCAGGGACAGCCTCTCAGATGAAGTGATGAGCTAGGAACTAAAGGATATAAAGGGGGGGGGCGCCTGGGTGGCTCAGTTGGTTAAGCGACTGCCTTCGGCTCAGGTCATGAGCTCGGGGTCCTGGGATCAAGCCCCGCATCGGGCTCCCTGACCCGCGGGAAGCCTGCTTCTCCCTCTCCCACTCCCCCTGCTTGTGTTCCCTCTCTCGCTGTCTCTCTCTCTGTCAAATAAATAAAATCTTTAAAAAAATAAAAAGTAAAGGATATAAAGGGTTTAGCATGGGAAGAGTGAGGGGAAGAGCCTCCAAAAGTACAGGTGCAGCACAGGCAAACACCCTGGGGAAGGAAAGAAGTTGTCCTGTTGAAGAAATTGAAAGACTAGTTAGTGAGTGGGGGATGGGAGTGGGGTGGGAGGGTTGTTGGGAAACAATTTGGATTAAGTACAAAGGCAGGTTGTCTGATTTACATTTTGGGGTCAGTCTTGCTGCTCAGCATTTATCCTGGGTAAGCCTCTGCGTTAAGCACAAGGGAAATGGTGGGAATACACAGTTAAATGAAGTGCCATTGACTATGGCCTTTGGAATCAGAGAGACCACGGTTCAAATCCTACCTCAGCTCCTTACTGTGATATTTTGGGGAAATGACTGAAATGCTGGGTCTCAATTCCCTCATCTGTGAGAAGGAATTTTATTATAAATAAATAATATGTAATTCTGTGGAGTGTTTGTGAATATTGGAAATCATACATATGTAAAAGAACTAACACAGTTAGTGTGTGGACACAGGCAGGGACCAGATAAATAGAAGCCATTGTCAATTAAGATAACTGTTAGTGCTTAGCATGAAGAGGTTACTCCTTAAACTATGTAATTATTATCATCGCTGCTTCCAAACTCTTCCTTCAAGACTATACGCAACATAGCCCGTACTACCCAACTTGCTTATTAACGTCTACTAGTTTTCTCTCTTTTACCTCTGCTTTCTGTTAACACTTGTACCTAGTAACTTTTGAACTCTTATCTGGAACTTAACTTCAGGAATGCTTTCCCAAATTAACTTCATGCTATCTTAAGTATGAAATTACCCTGTATTTCGGGGTGCCTGGGTGGCTCAGTCATTAAGCGTCTGCCTTCAGCTCAGGTCATGATCCCAGGGTCCTGGGATCGAGCCCCACATCAGGCTCCCTGCTCCGCGGGAAGCCTGCTTCTCCCTCTCCCACTCCCCCTGCTTGTGTTACCTAACCCACTGTGTCTCTCTGTGTCAAATAAAATCTTTAAAAAAAAAAAATTACCCTGCATTTCTTTCAGAATTAATAACTTTAAGCTGAAAACTTAATATGTTTGTGTTTGTTGAACTATGGCTTTGTTCTCAAATAATTGTGTTTTGTCTTTAGGTAGGTTGTAAGAAGATGGATACCCATTCGTTCTTTATTTCCCTTCCTAATTCCCTATCCAAATGTTTTATATAATACTCCACTCATTTATTTATTTATTCAGCGAACAGTTGTTGAGGGCCACTACATTTAACAAACTGTATTCATTTCTGGTCCTTGTGAATCAAACGTGATTACTGATGACTGGTACCACTTTAAATTCATGTCCACAAATCTCAAATGGGTGCACAACACTGCCGAAGAGCCTACTACATGCTCTTGACATGTGTACTCTCCTACACTCCAAATGAGTGTTATGCTTTCTCATTTCCCTAATCCTCGACTATCCCTCCCCCACCACATCCAATTTATGATTTTGGCTCATTCTTCATTGAGAAGACAAGCAAATGAGAACTTCCTCTCCCCACCAAATTTGCCAGCCTGCAAGTACTTTCTGCCCTTCCTCCTCTTTCATTAAAGGAAGGATCCCTGTTCCCATCAAAAACCAACTCTTTGTGCGTTGGGTCCCACATGTTTCACTTTCTCTAGGTCTGTGCTCCTGTGATTATCCATTTTCCCCTATATTACATTTATCCCTCTCTACTGGATCATTTCCAAACATGACAAATTTCTCCCATCTTGAGAAAAATGGACCCAGATTCCTCTGTAGCTATCACTCCATTTCTGTGCTCTTCTCCATGCCAAGATTTCTTGAATGATATTATTGTCTCTTACTCTACTTCATCTTCCACTCATTCCAAAACACTCCACTCAGGCTCTCCCACCCCATGTTCTCACTAATTCTTGTTAGTTTACCAAATTACTGCCATACTGATAGTCACCTCTTCATCTTGAATTTCTTGGTGGTATACATTAATCACTCCACCTTGTAAAAAAATTTTTTAAAGATTTCATTTATTTATTTAGAGAGCGCAGGAGCAGGGGGAGAGCCAGAGGGAGAGGGAGAGAGACAATCTCAAGCCGACTTGCCACTGAACGCGGAGCCCGACGCGGGGCTTGATCTCATAACCCTGAGATCATGTCCAAAAATCAGAGGCCAGAATCAAGAGTTGGACAGTCAACTGACTGAGCCTCCCAGGCATCCCTAACCACTCCACCTTTTAAAACATATATGGTGGGGCACCTGGGTGGCTTAGTCAGTTGGGCGGCTCAGTCAGTTGGGCGTCTGCCTTTGACTCAAGGCATGATCCCGAACTCCTGAGATCGAGCCCCGCGTCGGGCTCCCTGCTCAGCGGGGAGTCTGCTTCTCCCTGGCTCTTCCTCTATTGCTCACTTCCTAATGGTGGCATGCTCCAGGGCTTAGTCCTACATCCTTAAGTCTTCACTTACACTTTCTCCCTAAGAGGTATTACCCATGTTCATAGCTATGAATACCATTTGTATGCTGAATGGTTCTAAATTTGTATCTCCAGTCCTGACATCTTCACTGAGCTCCAATTGTCTATTTGACATTCCTACTTGGGTAGCAAATAGGCATCTCAAGCTTGATGTGGCCAAACCAGGATTCTTGATTCTTCCATACAGCTGTTATTTTCCTGCTCTTCCCCATCTCAGTAACAGACAACTATCCACTTAGTTTTCCAAACCAAACATTGGACTGTCAACCTTGGTTCCTCTATCCCTCATCTCCCCACATCTAATTCATCAGCGGGTCCTGTTAGCTTTACCTGTATAATGCATCCTGTATGAGTATGTTTTTCTCCATCTCCTCACTTGTTTTTAAAAAGATTTTTTATTTTTATTTTTTTTTGAGAGAGAGAGCACAAGCAGGGAGGAGAGGGAGAAGGGAGGAGAGGGAGAAGGGAGCCCAATGTGGGGCTTGATCCCAGGACCCTGGGATCATGACCCGAACCGAAGGCAGGCGCTTAACCGACTGAGCCACCCAGGCGCCCTGTAACTGAAATTTTAAAATACAAAATAAAACACGATAAAATTTACCTCACCTTCCCCTCCAAGTGTGTCTACCACTCTTTCAGGGGCATTTGAAAGAAGCCCAGCTCCCCCAAGAGGAAACTTTTAAAACTGATACTGCAAGAAGAATTAAAGTGATTCCGCTCAGCAGTAACAAATCTAAAGAAAAGTCCCAGAATTACAGATCGGGTGAGGCTCCTCATTCTTTTCCAACTCGGTCCTTGCATCTCCCCTCGCTACCATTGCCCACCCGCCCATGCCTGCCGCACTTCCCAGCTCAGCCTCTAGGTGGCGCGGCGGGGCCCGTAAGCGAGTAGACCGGGACCGACCTCTCGAGCGACAGCAAGACGGTCATGACGTCACGTCACGTCCGGGCGGAAGTCCTCCGCTGGCCGACCGGGAAGTAGCAGAAGACTGGGCGATGGCAGCTCTGGAGGCCTCGCTCCGGGGCAGACCCGACGCCACGGTTCCCCCGCGGTAGACCGGATCAGGGTGGCGGGCTCCGGGTCCCGAGGTGACGAGCGTCGGGGGCTGAACCGGGGCTTTAGAAGGGAACCCTGACAGCCCCTGTCGAAGCCGCTCCCTGACCCTGGGCTGGTAAACTGCCTTTGCCAGGGCTGCCCCGGAAACGGGTCCGCCTGGTATCCGACCAATCCTACAGGGAACGGCGTGGGGGAGGATTTCCCCCCTTCACTGTACCAGCAAGGCAGGTGGTAGCCCCGGACCTAGGGTTCAAGTGCTCTGATTCAACCTAACATCGCCTCCTCTCTACCACCGCAGGGATGGAGGGGACTAAAACTTCCAGCAGCACCATGCAGGTGAGCTTCGTGTGCCAGCGTTGCAGCCAGCCCCTGAAACTGGACACGAGCTTCAAGATCCTGGATCGTGTCACCATCCAGGAGCTCACAGGTCAGGGAGACCCTTGGAAAGAGGGTGGTCAAGATCGTGGAAAGTGGGCAGCTTTGGAGATGTAGGTCTTAAGGTGGCTATCTTTGTAATCTGCCACAAACTTGCTGTGAACCTAGGAAAGTCATTTCATCTCTAGGCTCCCTGTTTTCTCATTGGGAGCATGAAAGAGTTCTGACATTGTGCTTCTTAGAGCCTCCTATTTTAAGGAAAGGTCCTTAGTTTTCTGCTCTTGCTGTTTCAGAGTAAAGGAATATGTATATATAATAATAAACAGTATTTGTTGAGGGCTTACCATATAGCAAGTGCATTACATGCATTACATCATTTATCCCTGCAACAACCCCAATGGAGGAGTACAGCCATCATTTTACAGATGAGGGATTGAGGCTCAGAGAGGTTAAGTGGCCAACAGCAGGTAAATGGAGGAACAGAGTCTTAAAATCCCAAGAAGTGAGATGAAGTTAGAGACAAAAGAAAGAAAAGACTGAATAGGTAGTTTAAGCTCTTGGGTCCAGAGTCAGCTTGCTTGGATTTAAATCATAAGTGTCATTTACTAGCTGAGTGGCTTTTTGCAAGTTACTTTCCTTTCTAAGCCCTGGTTTCTTGGTTTCTTTATCTGTAAAAGGTAAAACGACCTCAGGGTAGTTGTAACGATCAAATATGATGAAGAACATAAGTACTTAGGGATATGCTGGGCAAAAAGTACTTGAGTGTTAGCTATTATCATTGCTACCAATTTCTCTTTTTGAGTGGAATTAACCCTTTAATATATTTTTAACCTTTTATTACAGAAAATTTCAATCATATAGTCAAGGGAATAGCATAATGAGCTCTCTCATATCCATCACCCAGCTTCAACAATAAGCCACATTCTGCCATTCTTGTGTTCTCTGTATCTTCACTCACCTCCCATCCCCATTCAATTATTTTGCTTTTTATTCTTTTTTAAAAATGTCATGCCTTTAAATGTACAAATCTTAGCTGTACATTTTTGACAAAATGGATACACTCATGTTGCTAGATCATTGGGATGTAGAAAGGTTTCATCTTCCCAGAAAGTTCCCTCGTGTTCCTTCCAAGTTATTCTGGAGGAAAGGGGATGTTAACTTTTGTTATGGAAAAATTCAGAGTATAATAGGAACTTTCACATACCCATCACCTAGCCTCGACAATTATCAGTGCATATTTAAATCATGTTTCATACACAGCCCCATCTATTCCCCTCCCACCCCGAATTATTTTGGAGCAAATCCCAAACATAAAAATACTGTAAATGTTTTGGTAAGTATTTTTGAAAGATAAGGTGTCTTTTTAAAAACACGATCATGGGGCGCCTGGGTGGCTCAGTCATTAAGCGTCTGCCTTCGGCTCAGGTCATGATCCCAGGGTCCTGGGATCGAGCCCCACATTGGACTCCCTGCTCTGCGGGAAGCCTGCTTCTCCCTCTCCCACTCCCCCTGCTTGTGTTCCCTCTCTTGGTGTCTCTCTCTGTGTCAAATAAAAAAAAAAAATTAAAAAAAAAAACTACAATCATGATACTACAGTGGGAAGAATTTAACAATTCCTTAATCTGATTTAATGGGGATAAGGGGAGAAAGACAAAAGATTTATCTATGTGCAAATGGTACTTTAAGAAAAAGGGGGAGGTGGGAGTGGTGATGAGGATTTTTTTTTTTATTGTTTTCCCATACTTTCATACACGCTCCAGCTTTTTTTTTTTTTTTAAGGTTTTATTTATTTGACAGAGAGAGCACAAGTAGCCAGAGCGGCAGGCAGAGGCAGAGGGAGAAGCAGACTCCCCACTGAGCGGGAATTCTGACTCGGGACTCGATCCCAGGACCCTGGGATCATGACCTGAGCCGAAGGCAGACGCTTAACTGACTGAGCCACCCAGGTGCCCACACTCCAGCTTTGTTAAGACTGTTCCTAACTCTAATATTTTCCTTATCCTTAGCTCCATTACTTGCCACAGCCCAGGTGAAACCAGGAGAGACCCAAGAGGAAGAGGCTAACTCAGGAGAGGTATGCAACACTGGAATGCAAACTGGGTTTCTGCAGGGTGCTTGGTGCTTCAGGAGTCCCTAGACCTTTGGGATCTCTGGTTAACAAGAGATGTTCTACATGATCGGGCCACTGTGGGTCATCAGGGAGATCCTGAAGTGCACCTGAGGTCACATGATGACTGAGTGAGACATAATTAAAAAATGTGGGGAGAGCCTTTTTATTTGAGGCAGAATTACAAGCCATTATAGGTGGGAGATGAGATGATCTGTGTGTCCAGGTCATCATCCCAAGGCATGCCTGGTTTACATCCATTGTCTTAGCTAATTATTAATATTCACTCCTCTCCATTCTCAAAAGTAGCTTGGTTTGGACTAGAGTGTGATTACTCTAGCCAGAAAGGATTGTCAGTATTAGAGAACATGTCATGTTTATTTATTTAAAGATTTTATTTGAGAGTGCATGCGCACGAGTGGGGGCGGGGAGGGCAGAAGGAGAGGGAGAAGCAGACTGTGCTGAGCAGGGAGCCCATTGCGGAGCTCGATCCTGGGACCCTGAGATCATGACCTGAGCCGAAGGCAAATGCTTAACTGACTGAGCCATGCAGGTACCGCAAACATGTCATTTTTAAACTGTGATAATGTCAGTGATAATTTTCTTTGTCAGAGGTAGATGTCATAAGAATTTGATCATAAATAAATTATATCAAAGTATCAAAAGCATATAAATTATCTACTTTGTTGTATGCCATGGCAAACTTCACTGCAGTCTGATGTGGCTTTTTCCCTGTGCCATGATTCAGGGCATTCTTTCCCCTACCCCTAACTGGTAAGTGTTGAGAAAATACAAATTTAACTGCAATAGAGTATAACATAGGAGATGTTGTTTCCCACAAAAAATCACATGGGACTTGGGGTTTGTCTGTACCAGGGGTCCTTTCTTAGTGCACATATCCAAGGATTGGCTAGGTAACACCTATTTCTTAAGTCTCTGTGGTTTATCAAGTGCTGCAGTTGTCAGTCAAGGGTAAAGCCAGATATTGCTGAAACTATTTGGGACTCCACCTCTAAGCTGCCAGAATTCTAACGCCCTCTTATTTCCTTCCCAGGAGCCATTTCTTGAAACTCGCCAGGATGGTGTCTCTCGCAGATTCATCCCCCCAGCCAGGTGCCTACCACTCCCCAGCCCCCTGTTCCTTGCCAAAGGCCAGTAGAATTTTAATGGAACCCAGAATTGAGACCTGGAGCCAGGTGATGGAGATAAATCACCGAGCCTTTTGGCTCTTCCAGAAAAGATGTATTCTCTTATACTTGGCCCATCACTTTCCAGTATTGGTTTTCCCTGTAGCCATTCACACAGTGGGAAGGGACAGTGGCTCTCTTGATGAAGAATCAAGAAAAGTCTGAGGGAGTGAATGACTAATAAAAGAGATGGGCTCTTGAAAATCTTTAAAATAGCAGATGTTGTTAGACGTTCAGGTTCTTAGTTGTTGATGCATGTGAAGGCTACTAGTGAGGGGTATGATATTTAAAAATGGTCTTTCCTGATTCTCCTTCCTTTTCTACTGTAGACACACACACGTGTCAGTTTTTGATGCCCCCTCTCCCTCCTTAGTCCATCCAGGCCAACCTTCGTGCTGAGTGCCCCTGTGGAAGACCAGCATGGCCTTCCCTTGGGAGAGAGGTACCCTTGGGAGGTCAGTCGGGCTAGGAGTGGGTATGCGCCTTGAGGCCCCTCAGCCGGTGCTTGAGAGTCTCTGCCACTGACACTGCAGTAGGTGGAGGAGGCCTCTCTGCTCCCTCATGTGGCCCGTGGGCGGGGGGCTGTCTGCAGGATGATGTCTACAGAAAGTGCCAACAGCTTCACTCTGATCGGGGAGGCATCTGATGGCGGCACCATGGAGAATCTCAGCCGAAGACTGAAGGCAAGTGGGCAGTGTTGCAGTGTCCAGCGGTGGGCCTGGCTGCTAGAGTGGGTGGCTCGACAGGTTGCCTGGGGCAGGCCCTACCCTGACTCTCCCCCACCCCACACTTCCAGGTCACTGGGGACCTTTTTGACATCATGTCAGGCCAGACCGATGTGGATCACCCACTGTGTGAGGAATGCACAGACACTCTTTTAGACCAACTGGACACTCAGCTCAACGTCACTGAAAATGAGTGTCAGAACTATAAGTGAGTGGCTCCAGAGCCAGTGCCCAGAACCCGAGAGCTGTTCCTGCTCTCAGACTGCTTGGCTCTTCCCCGGGAGCTGTGCTGCACTCAGGTAAACAGTGTAACAGGTTCCCTGTGCTGAGTATATTCTGCCTGTGTCCTTGGCAGACGCTGTTTAGAGCTCTTAGAGCAGATGAATGAGGACGACAGTGAACAGCTACAGAGGGAGCTAAAGGAGCTGGCATTAGAGGAGGAGAGGCTGATCCAGGAGCTGGAAGATGTGGAAAAGAACCGCAAGATAGTGGCGGAAAATCTTGAGAAGGTCCAGGCTGAGGCTGAGAGACTGGATCAGGAGGAAGCTCAGTGAGTGGTTACCCTGTTCCTCTGTCTTCCTGGCCTCGACACTCCAGGAGGAAAAGTGGCTTCTCACTGAATGTGTCTGAGTAGTTTGTAAGCTGCAGTCACCTGTCATTTGGCAGCTTGTCTGCTCCAGATCCCACATATTGTTTCCAGGCCCTGTTCCTTGAGGGCTGTTGGGAGGGTTCTGTATGAGTGGTCCGCCTAATTAAGTGAAAAAAGCATGTCGGTTAAATAGAGAGCAGAGAAACGAGGGTTCTAGTTGCCCTTCTGCCGTGTAGGGAACTGTAAATCAGCCACCCAACCTGGCATCCTCCTCTGGAAAGATGAGCATGTTGGCCTACATTCGTTCTTTCCCAGCCCAAAAATTTCACTGGTGATCTTGACCTGAGAGAACCCTCTGTCCAGGGGAGGAGACCCAGTGTCCACACTAACTAAAGTCGGGGAAGTGATGGACAGAGAAAAAAGTTACTTTTTTCAAAGTCGTGAACGAGTTTCCTTGGAAATGGTGTACGCTAACTATAAAGGACAGTTACGTGCATAGAAGTGAAGTTCTGAAAGTTCAGTTAGGGTCATTTTACAGAAGAAGCCACTCTTAACCCCCTCACCTCACTTTTGTAAAAGATCAGAAATACGAGAGGCACGTGGCCTTAGTTTAGGAGAGTCCTGTTTTCCTCTGCCCTTTGCATATGGGCAGCTAGAATTTGAGACCTTTCTGTCCCTTGCAGGGAGAACAGCTAGGGCCTGTATGTTCCTTTGAATGGGATCTGTGCCAAATGGAAAGGATGCTGTAACTAGGTCTCACCATAACCATCAGACTAAATTGTTATGACGGTTGGTGAGAGAGAAATTTCAGCCCCAAACCAACAGCCTTCAATGGCCACCTTGCTGCTCACAGGTATCAGAGGGAGTACAGTGAATTTAAGCGACAACAGCTGGAGCTGGACGATGAGCTGAAGAGTGTGGAAAACCAGATGCGTTATGCCCAGATGCAGCTGGACAAGCTGAAGAAAACTAATGTCTTCAATGCGACCTTCCACATCTGGTAATGCGGGCTGGTGGGTGAGGAGGGCCTGGGGAGCACTGCACACCTGCACCTTAGCTGCTGACCACTAGGCCGAGGTGGCCGCCTCCCACGAAATTGGACTGTACATGGTCGCCCCATCCAGCCTGCTTTTGTTCCCTGTGATGGGAGAGGCACCTCTGGGTGTTGGAATTCTAGAGCTTGGTGACATCCACTTCCCCAAGGAAAGGAAAAGATCTGAGCCCTCCAGTCCCACGAAAACCTTGTCATCTGCCTGGGTGCTGCCCCTAGGATCATTGATGTATTTATTCAACATTTTGTCCATTTAACTAGTGTTGTTGAGCATCTCATACATGGCAGGCACCGTGTTAAGCACCAGAAGGGCAACAGCACACAACATGTGTTCTACCTTCTAGTTGCTTAGAATCTCGTGGAAGGGATGGATATGTGATAGGCTGCTGTAATGCGACGTGATAACCGTGAACCTCAGGGGGCTCTGGGGCCACATAAAGGCACTTGGCTCAGTTTGGGAAGGCCACATGGAAAGTTTGCCCCAGGGGAGGTTGATGTTGAAGCTGAGACATGAAGTGGAAGTCTGCAGAGGGGGGCTGTTCCTGGCAGAGGAACGTCACGTGCAAAGAAACAGAGGAACAGGGGAGTGGTGAGTCTGGAGACCTGAAAGGAGCTTATTGTGACTGGAGATTGAGTGTAAAGGGGAGAGTGACAGGATATGAAACTGGAGAGTGACCAGTTCCCCAGGGAGCTTGTAGGCCTCATGAAGGGATTTGGGCTTCATCCAAAGGGCAGTGGAAACCACTAAAGCATTTTAGGCAGAGAGCTGACATAATTAACATTTGTGTTTGTGAATGATCCCTTCACCTGCAGAGTGGGAAGTGTTGGGGGGAGGAGGGCAGTGCCAGTGGTAAGGAGACTTGTCAGTAAGACTCTAAGCAGGAAAAGATAGAGCAGCGGCATTGAGTTTGGAAAAAAGTAGATAGATTGAAGAGGTTTAGGAAGTCCAATCAAGAGAGCTTGGTGGTTTTTGAGGGGAGGAAGCAGAGAGAGAGCATTCAAGAATGATGTCCCCGTTTCTGCTTTGCATCTGAGCAAAAGGAGAGATGACAGCTCGCGTTTGGACACGTATTTAAAGTGCCAAGTAGAGGGGCACCTGGCTCACTCAGTCGGTAGAGCATGCGACTCTTGATCCTGGGGTCGTGAGTCCAAGCCCCACGTTGGGCATAGAGCTTACTTAAATAAATAAATAAAGTGCCAAGGAGAGCTTAGGTATATGAATGTGGAGATGAGGGGAGAGATTTATGTGAGGGTTTAGGTGCGAGCAGGAAGTCTCAAATTGCTGAGTGTTAAGGTCTCCCTGTATTTCCCGCCATCCCTCCTGCCTTCCTCTAGGCACAGTGGACAGTTCGGCACAATCAATAACTTCCGACTGGGTCGCCTGCCCAGTGTTCCCGTGGAATGGAATGAGATCAATGCTGCCTGGGGTCAGACGGTGTTGCTGCTCCACGCCCTGGCCAATAAGATGGGTCTGAAATTTCAGAGGTAAGAAATGCCCCCCTTTCTTGGGGTGTGGCATGTCCTTGATATAATCTGTATCTCCAGCTTGGTATTCCTCTGCTGTGGCAGGAGCCCTTGCTCCCAACACACTGAGAGTTTTCTGTCTGTGGAGACTCTGCTTCTGATTCTCCCCCTGACGACAGGGCTCTTTCCACTCATCGAGCAGCCCTTGAACTGCACGACCAGAGCTGTGGTCCCCAGCCCAGCGTCTCTAGAACCTTGGTGGTTCCTCAAGCTGTTTTCAGCTTTTGTTTTTTTCAGCCTAAACAAAACCTACACTTACCAACGAAAGGCCCCCAGATGATTATGTAATAAATGTAGTTTGGTAAACAACATCTTTTAAACACGGAGTCTTTGGGGAGATGAGAGAGAGGGGTGGGAATAATAAAAGTAGTCCTTGGGTGGATGAACCCTGAAAATCACTGGGTTATAACATTCCAGTAATCACTTTAGCAGGAGTCCTGTATCCATCTCCATGTGCATCTCCATTTTAGGTATCGACTTGTTCCCTATGGAAACCATTCATATCTGGAGTCTCTGACAGACAAATCTAAGGTATTCTGGGAAGCCCCATTTTCAGTGCAATGCAGAATCCTTGTACCTCCTGACGGAATGGTTTACTTTTGATAATAGCATTTCTTAGTTTCTTTCTTTGAGGTGTCTCGTGATCCCATGTCTTGTTGAGTGTCTTGTCTAGGTCAGGATTAGCTCTTTGGGGCCTAGAGACACAAAGTAGGTTTTTACAATCCGTTGAAAAGGGCTAAGGGCAGACCAGAGGAGGAGGTGTATGCTAGGGTGGGAAAGGAATCACTGCGAGATTAAGTGTTTAATCCATTTCCAGTGATGATGAAGCAGACTAGGTGCCTCATATGGGCCCGAGTTGGCTGTTTCCAGTGCAGTACAGACAGAACATGACTCGAGAAGTGGCTGGGCTTGGGAACAGTCTCTGGTACCCTGTCTCGGTGCCATCCCCTTAGCTGGTTCTCTCTCTTCTTGGACAGGAGCTGCCATTATATTGCTCTGGGGGGTTGCGGTTTTTCTGGGACAACAAGTTTGACCATGCCATGGTGGCTTTCCTGGACTGTGTGCAGCAGTTTAAAGAAGAGGTAGAGAAAGGCGAGACCCGTTTTTGTCTTCCTTACAGGTCAGTACCCCCTAATGCTGAATGAACCTGGAGTAGGACCAAATTGAGCAGAATTGAAGGGACAGTAAGAATGGAAGCAAAACATAGTGTAAATGGTGGGAAAGCAGAAAATGCTGCAAAATCACATGACACTGATGGGCAGAGACGGATGCAACACTCCAAGCAGGACCGAATGTGACTGCCTGGCCCCTGAGGAGAAGGAATATTCTCTTTGGTGCTTTGGGGGGGATTTTCTTAGCACAGAGCTCAAATCAGCTCTCTAATTTCAGGAAGCTTTTCCCCTTAAGCCCTTGGAAATAGACAGGAATGCTTCCTTTGGTCAAATTTTGTAGGAGCCCAGTGATAGACGGAGACCTTAGTTTAAGAGGGTGAGGCCGAAGCTGCTTCTGTCACCCCAAAACAAAGCATTTCTTTTCTTCTGCCTCCTTCTCTCCCCATGAGTTCAGGGATGCCTCGGAAAACAGTCAGGAGTACTGTAACCTCCGCGTGCCCTCTGCCCCAGGCTTCTCATTTGTTTGGGTGTGTGTCCTGTCCCTGTACTCGGCAATGACAATGAGGCTCTTGTGACGGCCTTCTTGATGTTTGGCTTTCAAGCAAATCCAAAATACACTACCATTCCTGGCCAAGAGTTCTTTAATAGATAAAATGACGCGAATGGTCCCATGATCACGTCCCTGCCCATTTGAAGCGGACCTAACTCGGGTCTCAGTTGCTAACGAGCTCTGCTGTGTCCACCTGCAGGATGGATGTGGAGAAGGGCAAGATTGAAGACACAGGAGGAAGTGGCGGCTCCTATTCGATCAAAACCCAGTTTAACTCTGAGGAACAGTGGACAAAAGCTCTCAAGTTCATGCTGACGAATCTTAAGTGGGGGCTTGCTTGGGTGTCCTCACAGTTTTATAACAAATGACTTTTTTTTTCCTTAGGGAAATGTTTGCCTTAAAGGCTTTAAATTTTGTTTTGTTTGCAAAGAGGAAAAATGTTTTAAATTAAATTTGGGTACTATTAAACAGCACATGTTTACAATACCAAAAAAGAAGAAAAATCCACAAAAGCCACTTTATTTTAGGATATCATGTGACAGATAGTTTCCAGAGCTACCAGCCTTTGTCATAGTTTTGACTCTTAACCCCATACCTTCCTTGCCCTCTCTCCCCTCAAAACAACTAATTTAAATTTGCTTTTGTTGTTGTTGCTGTTGTTAACTGAGTTGAATTGAGATTGATGTGTTTTCATTGGGTTTTATCTCTCTCAACTTCCTGCACTTACAATATGAGCTAGAAACTTTTTTTTTTTTAAGATTTTATTTAGTCATTTGACAGAGAGAGACACAGCGAGAGAGGGAACACAAGCAGGGGGAGAGGGAGAGGGAGAAGCAGGCTTCCCGCGGAGCAGGGAGCCCGATGCGGGGCTCAATCCCAGGACCCTGGGATCATGACCTGAGCCGAAGGCAGATGCTTAACAACCGAGCCACACAGGCGCCCCATGAACTAGAAACTTCTATCTCCACTGAGACAACAAGATGTGTGAGACATACAGTTGGATAACGTGAGAAAGTGATGCATAAGCTTCGGTCACCTGGTGGTGTGATCGGAAGCTTGAAATTTAACACTTGTCCTTTCTCAGTTCTCATGCTGACTGCCTATTCTGCTCTCTGTTATTAATATGAAATCGTGTTTGATATTGTCTGAGACATTATGGAAAGATTTAATTATTTGTAATAAAAGATTTACTGCAGTCTGATAACTGCCCAGAGGCGCGCTGTTGGGTTTTTTGTTGACTAAGATAGAGTACTTTATATTCTGAGAGTATTGAGTTCAAGTGCAAGTATGTGGAAATCTTGTCGAAACGTGTTTGGAGATGGATTAGTGTTAGTTTTAAAAAAGACTCATGGAAATAACCAACCTTAGAGGAAGCCCATTTGTGTACATCTCAAAGACAGAACAGAGATGTTAAGCTAACTTTAAGGGGAAATAAAGGCTGCCTCCTTGATGCTCAGTCAAGGTCACCCAAACAGTCCCAGTTTTCAGGCCCCTGGTTAATACTAATTTCCATGTCTGGTGTTCTCTCTCAATGAAATGAACAGTTAAGGAAAAGCTATAAATATCTTGTTAAACAAAAACGAACCAACTTCACTAATGTTCTGTCTCCTCCCAGCTCCTTGACATTTTCAGTCTGATTTTGGCAAAAAAGACATGCTTGTCAACTTTAACTCTTTCTCTGACGCAGAAAAGGGAGCATGGAGTTGGAATACAAAACATAGTTCAAAAGATACTTGGAACTTTTGTCCCGAGTCTGAGAGTAAACAAAAGGAGGGCTGAGCGCGGTGATGGGAAGGCTGTTTATACTCGGTGCGTTGAGTGCGCCTCATGTGTTGGAGGAGGCAGTGGCCCTCAGAGCTCTGGACTCCAGGTGGGGAGGAACAGGCTGCTGTCGCCCTGGAGTGTTGGCTCCCACGCTATGAGTCAGGATTGCATAAGAGAACTCAGCAATGCTTTCCGAGGCAATGCCAGTGATGCTCTGCAAATGCCCCACAACCTTCAGAGACAGACAGATTTCATATTACTAAATAATCTCAGCATGTTTTAGCGCACAGAAAGGCACAACGCTTGGGCTGTTCTCAAGCCAGATGTAAATTTTTTTGTTTCTCTGCGTTTACAGAGAAGATTAAATCCAGATCCAGTGTTTGCCAATGGCCGGATGACATTAGGATCCCTTTACCCTGATAGTGTTAGCCTGGAAAGTTTCTGCTAGACATTTCATTTCTAGAGATAAGTTCTGTGAAATATGACGAGGGCATTTGGGCCTAGACATTGTCTTCTATTGGGGAGGATATACTTATTGGACCTGAACACAACAGTGGGTTATCATCAGAAAGGGAAAGGAACAAGCTGAACGTGATCCTCCATTTCCAGTTCCACAAGGGGAAAACTGGAGAGCGCTTTTCAGACCTACCCTAGTGTTTCCTCCCCCAAATCCTGCTTACTCATCATTATACTGGGTCTCGACTTATTTTTTATAAGTTGTCTTCTCTTTTCCTTTAACCGATGGGAGAATGCTTTCTATTAAGTGAATTCTGATCATGCCAGTCCTGCTCAGTGGTGCGCACCTGGCTCCAACACTCGTGGTTCTGGATGAAAGCACTCGCTGCAATGATTCCTACTGCCAACAGCATGAAGTCTTCCTTCACTGAAACAAACTTTTCCCTGAGAGATTAAAACCATATTAATTTTGGAGCTTGAATGGAACTTGATCTTCCAAATCCTAGGGCCATGGGACTTCAACTATGAGTTGTTTATGTTGATCATCTTGGACTTTTTTAGATATGGAAGGAAATGACTAAATGGCCCCCCTCCCCTAACCCACCTGGGATCCTGACTGGTTTATCGGCCTTTGTTGTCCCATCTGTCTCCCTAACAAATGTAACTGTAACTGTGAGCCTTTTTACCAGTCTGACTTTACAGTAATCAAACACTTTTGTCCAAGTTGCCACCCTGTGACTGGCTTTTTTTCCTAAGTGGCTAAAAGGCAGTCCAGTAATCTCAAATTGAAGCAGAAGTAAAGGAACTATGAAAAAGAAAGTATGTTAATTACCTGCAGTCATTTAAATTTAAAAGCAAAATCCTTTAGGGTTTTTGCTGATTGGGCTCAGTCATCTGCATCCAAGCAACATACTGGGAGTTCATTAAAACTGGGTAACCTGCGCAGGTTATCTGTGGACTGGATGCCTTATTGGGTAAATTCCATTCCCGTGGTATGTTCTTGAGGTGTGCTCCTAACTCGCTGTTTCTGGAAGAGGCCTGCCCTAAAGGAGTTTCCTTACCCTTGCAGCTGACTGGGTACGGAGTTTTCAATCGAAGCCCTCAGCAGGCTCTCGTATATGGGTTCGTGCAGGAGATAGACAAGGTCGAGCAGGGTCAGGCAGGTTGCGTGCAGCTGTGTGGCCGGGACCAAGCAGCCATTGTATCCTAGATGGGGTATGGGCATGGCAAAGAGTGGTAAGTGGGTCCTCTCTGAGCATCATCACCACTGACATGTGACAAAGCTCTTGAGCCAACGTGTTCTACTGCAGGAAACCTCTTTAGTTGGAGGTCAGTTTCAAAGGATAAAGGGAGAGATAGAGAAATCTCCATCTGCCGTGTATATACAATTAGAGTATATTTGTTTGTTCCCCTCTTATCTCATGCCTCTCTAGAAAATCACCTCTTTGATCCAGCAATAAGAGAGTGCCTAGTGAGTCCAAATAGAAGCCAGGTGCTGAGACCTGAGTTTCCTTCCCTGACAGGTACCAGACTCAGTCATCCCCGGCTTCCTGCTGTTTCTCATCGGTGGGTTCTGCCCACTGCTTCCAAGCCCCTGGGCACATTCTTACTGCCTTCTATGGAAGATTCCAACCCACATCCGCTGACACACTTAATAGAGTACCTAAAACCTCCAGAAGCATCTCCACATATGCCAGGGGAGTGGGCAGATTGATTTGGAAGTTCAGGGACTTCAAAACATCAAGCTCTGACTCCAGCAGTTCTTCTTTAGTGTGCACATACCCTAGAGACTGGAGGAAATTCAGGACTGTAACGTTGCTGATAATCTGAGCAAAGAAAAACAAAACAGTGAGAGGGAGAGAGAGAAGGGTGTCAGACTAAAGGTCACACATCTTGGCATAGCATACAAAGCTTTTCACAATCCAGCACATGCCTTCATCGCGTCTTCTCTCTTGGCAATTGCCCCTCATGCCCCACGCTTGTCATATAGGATTACTTGCAGTTCCCGAGCCCGTCCAGCTCTCCAAGCCTGTACACATGCTGCTTCCTGTGTCTGGACCCTCCCTCTCCTCTCTCCCTGCTTTCCTGAACTCCTCTCCCTCTTTCTTAGCATCCACCCATCTCCTACCCACGCCTACCTACCCCCTTCAAGAAGTCATTTTCCCTAAATACACTTGCTTGACTTTCCGAGGCCGCAGAGGTACATGCACAGCTGTCTGCATTTACACTAATCGGAGCACCGTCCCACATTATTTGCCTGTGTGTCTTCTCCCATTGGATAATAGATTCCTTGAGAGCGCAGGCAATATTTTTACTTGTTAATTCCATCACCTGTGGCACCTAGTGCAGCCTCTGGCCATAGAAGACAGTGAATCTTTGTTGCGGGAATGGTATTTTACCATACAGGCATCGGGTAGGGGTATGGAAACATTTTATCCTCTATAAATGTAACAGTTTGTCTTTAATACTGATAGGCCTGTTGGCAATTCAGGCACCTTACGTAAACTGTCCTTGAGTCCAAGGGGAGGAAAGGTGACCTGTATAAATGATGGCATCTGTCCAGCAATTACACTTTGGGAACAGAACTTCAGGCTATTTAAAAACTGCCTCTGTGTGACTGTGTGTGTGTGTGTGTGTGTAGGAGGTGTGCTTATTTAGAAAGCGTAATTGCACTCTGGAATTTCCACAGGAGTAGTAACACCTAGCTTAGGAGGAGGTTTCTCACAGTTGCCTGTGGACGAGCTGGTTTCTGCTAACGTGCAGGTACCCAGGAGGGACTCCAGCTCCTTACTTTGTAGTGGAAGGAAAGTTTGCTTGCCAGTTGAACACATGACACAAGACGCAGGATAAACTTGTTGAAAAGCTGCTCTTTCAGAGTTTTCCAATTCTGAGCCTCCTTCTTCTCTCTCAGCTGGATCGTGGCTTGCCTGTTCATATTCTCTGCCTGCTTAACCATAAACCTATAAGGAAGGGAAGGGGAGAGTAAAGAATCCACACTCATCAAACTAAAAGGAGTTTGTGCTGCAAACTATGGGGTATCTCCTCCTCTCCAATCTCAGTCCCTGGCTGAGAAATGGACATTTGCAAGTAATAGAGGGTGCCAAACCAGGTCTCGTACTAAAGGGCGACTGTACTTTATTTTTTTTTCTTTTTTAAGATTTTTAAGAGTACATTAGTCCTTCTGAGAGGTACCACTCACAAAGGCCTATGATCAGTGTTTTTTACCTTTCTAGGATTTCTACAGCCTGGTAGCTCACGGATTTCTCCAGACACCATTGTTCAGACAGGAGAAAAACAAACTCTGCCAAAACAAGAAAGAAGAGACTGACTCACACGGTGCAACCAAAACCACTCTGTGAACTCCTGGCATCATGTAAAAGCCATTATGGGGCCAAGGGAAGAGGGTCAGGGGGTGAGAAAGGAGACTGAAACAACCCAAGCTGAGCTGAGTTCCCTTTCCTGCCAATAGGCAGATCAGAGGCACAGAAAGGAAGCTGACCGAGAGCCAAAGACAAGGGCTTACCAAGCCCCCTCAGTGACCCTTGAGCCTTCCTGTGGGTCTCAGCT